CGAGCAGCTCGCGGCTCACGCGGTCCGCCACAAGCGCGTTCGATGTCCTCGCCCAGCTAATGGGGCAACTGCAATGCTGTGTCTCGTTCCGCGGCTTTACCATCCCTGTGATCTGCTACGTCTCCAAGCCTGACCTCAGCCTACTTTGTCTCGATTGGATTGAACAACTTGTTTTGGTCGATATGCCGTTCCGCGTTGTTTGCTGTTAGGTGCAGATTTCCTGCGGATAAGAATTACGGGCAGATAGCGAAAGAGGCTCTGGCCCTCGTGTTTCCCATCAAGAAGTTTCACAATCTGTTTACGGTCGTTACTTCATGTTGTTGACGGATCATAAACCGTTGCTGCCAATCTTCGGTTCGAAGAAGGGTATTCCTGTCTACTCAGCCAGCCGACTTCAGCGATGGTCAACCATCCTTCTTGGCTACGATGTCGACATTCGCTACTGCTGCACTACCGACTTTGGTCAGGCTGACGCCCCTTTGTCGCCCAATCCGCAATCATCAGGAACCTGAAGAAGACATCGTGATTGCCGCTATTTCGATTAAGAATGATGTAGGCCGTCAGCTTTCAGACGCCATACGAAGTACTCCTGTCTCTGCCGCTGACATCCGACGTGTTACTGAACAGAATCCTGTCATGCGTCAAGCTATCACCTACGTGCAGACCTACTGGCCAACAACTGCTCCCACTGGCGACCTTCACCGACTCATCTTACGCCGAGCGTCGCTATCTGTGGTCGATTCCTGTCCTGTGTTTGCGGACTGTATGGTGATCCCGTCTTAACTTCGACCTGCTGTACGACGTCGATTTCATGCGGCTCATCCTGGTACAAACCAAATGAAGTTAATTACTCGCAGTTTTGTTTGCTGGTCGGATATTGACAGCGACATCGACGTCCTGGTTCGACGCTGTTCTTCCCGATGTCAACAAGCTGCCAGGATGCCGCCTCGTTAACCTCCAATACCCTGGCAATCACCAAAGAAGCCTTTGTCACATGTACATACCGATTTCGCCGGTCCATTTAACGAAGTCTCATACCTTATGTTAGTTGACGCCTACTCGAAGTGGCCAGAGATTACTACGTTTGGAGATTTCTGCCGCCAACATAGCATCTAGCACATTCGCTCCCAGCCCAACCACTCCCAGTCTAACGGTCAGACGGAGAGTTTTGTCGGCAGATATAAGGGAGCCCTCTTGAAAGTTGGTGGGGAGGGGGCCACGGACGAGATAGTCCAGGCGTTCCTGTTTTTTTACTGGACAGATAGACTGATTTGCTCCAAGGCAGCGGAAATTAATAAGCTGACTGGCGCCCGGAAGTAGGGGTGGATATTGAGGTCAACGGTCTCAGTGCATATTCCTCGCTAATAAATACCCGGATGAACTTGAATCTACCACGGTGTACTAAAAGCTGTGACTTATCAAGTTCCCAACTGACGGAATGACTTAGACCTCTCAGTCAGTCTAGTGTTTCTGTAGAGCGGCTGACTGGCGGAATGAGAGTCAGGCTGCAACGAGTTCTTCTTAATGTGACCGCATGTGGCACTCCCACTCAGCATGTGGTGATGACACGCCTAGGTGCGGTTTTTCGCCGTGCCAGCCATCTGCGTCCAATCCCGCCTCCGGTCTTCTTGACTCTGACATGATACCACGCCCAGGTGGGGGAGGAGAGAGTGCGGTAGATGCAGCGTTAACTGCCACTATTAACTACTTCACGTGCGAGTCACCGTCCCTGTGGCCATTCTGTTGTGGAGCACACGGTTGACATCACTGTACACGACGGTTTGACTGCGGATGATTGCTGACCAGTATTTTCGAAGAAGTGTTCGTGGACGACACCAGAATATGACACTTCGTTAATGCAGAAAAGAAGAGCATAATAGCAGGTTTACTGAAAATTCCCATTCTTATAAAAGTATCACATTTTTTGTATAACAAATCACACTAAAACTTGAGTAAACTGAAGTTCCAACAGCCAAACTCGGGAAAATCAACAGGCTCATAAAGACAGAAGACAGCTGGTCAGTCAACAAGAACAAAACCGGCAGCTCTACCGGGGACGGAATAAAATATCTTTGATTTTAGAGCCTCAACACTCTCCCCAAAGTACTGTGAGGCCACCCGTTTCACAAAGTGTTCGACAGTGGCTTCCGCCACTAGCGATACCACGCAACCTCCCCAGCCGGCACCGGTTAATCGACTTCCATATGCACCGGCAGACCTTGTATTTAAAAAAAAACAGAACCTAAGGGAGGAATTATCTCAAGTTTTATAAACAAGATTAGTTTTATTCACTTGTCAGAACAAAAAACCGAAACGTTTAAGTATGCTACCAACCAAGCAAGTCTACAAACTTCGAAAACAAGTTAAATTGCTGGTGTGAATTTGTAAATACCTCTTTGAAGCAATGTTTTCCCGGAATAAATTTGAACAAGGCAAAGGCGACAAAGCATGCAGAATTTACTGACGTCATAAATTTCGAGACCTCTCATTCAGCTGCACACGGTCATTGCATAGTTATGTGACAAGACAAACTGTTCAATCAACGATCGACCTAGAGAGATAAAACGTGATAGGTAAACTGAAACATGGGTATAGTATGCGGGTGCATATGGCGAGGGGGGGAGGGGGAGAGAAGTCATCCAAGTATGACAGAACTTGTGCGGGGTGATTTAGAGTGCAACGTGCGGGGAGCATTCAGTCATGCCGGGGAGAGGGGGGCAGGTGGGGGCGAATTGAGAGGGCGGACATGGGAACAGGGTTTCGTCCATAATCGATAATTACCATGGCAGTGCCAGGTTTATCACATGGTCCAGCTGCTTACAGAGTTCTGGTTTCCTCCTCCGTATTGCAGCGGCCTCTGCAAAGCGCAAGAGACGCCCGGTCGTCGCCCGAAACAGGACCTTGAATGCAACCATTGGGTCCACCGTATGGCCCGTGTCCACTAGGTGCTTCGTGATTGAGCTCCTAGCTACCTTATTTTCCGCCTTAAGCAGCCACTTCGGCATGTGTTCAGCTGACCGAGCTGCCAATTGCCGTTGCGTGCGCCCGATGTACTTGCATCCGCAACTACATGTAAACTCATAAATACAGTTTGATGTGGCGTGCATAGGCAAAATGTCTTTAGCTGCTCCAACTGGGATGGCGGTCGTGGTGCTTATCAATAACAATTTAGAGGCGGCATTCGTCCTTTCGATGGTGCACCGAAGTCGTCGCTTGATCACGTTTGACACGTCATCACCCTTGAAGGGGAGGTAGATGGTCACAGACTTTTTAGGTACAGATATTTCTTCAGGAGTTTCTTGTCTGGGATGGCGATATTTATCGATGAATTTCTCCGGATACCCGTTTGCAAGAAAAACGTTCTTTAGGGAAGTAAGCTCGTCATCGATCGTATCTGAGGAGCAGATCCTGGTGGCTCTATTGAACAGGCACAAAACCAAGTTGCGTTTTCTCTGAATTGGAACGAAACTGAGGAAGTGCATGTATTGTCCTTTCCAGGTGGGTTTTCGATATATGGATCTCTAAATAGAGCCATCTGCTCGCCTACGTACAAGAATATCCAGGAAAGGCAGTGTGTCATTCTTCTCATGCTCGATCGTAAATTTGATCTTTGCATGTGCTTTGTTCAGAGCCTTGAGTAGTAGTTCTCCGTCGCCTGGGTTTTTGACTATAGCGAAAATGTCATCCACATATCGCCTATAGAATGAGGTTCGTTGTAAGTTCCGAGCTAGTTTTCGCTCTAGATAAGACATTAAAATGTCCGCTAGGACTGGCCCCAATGGACTACCCATAGCTACACCGTCGATCTGTCGATACAGCCGCCCGTTGAACAAGGATTGTACATTCTTTGTGCATATCTGTAGTAGTTCCCGCAGTTGCTCTGGTGGCAGGTGTGTTTCACCCGCATGCTCACAAATTGCGTCAATTGTTTCATCCAGTGGCACGTTTGTAAACAGGCTCTGTCTTGTCATATAACTATGCAATGACCGTGTGCAGCTGAATGAGAGGTCTCGAAATTTATGACGTCAGTAAATTCTGCATGCTTTGTCGCCTTTGCCTTGTTCAAATACCTCTTTCGTACAACAGTCGACTTAAACCAAATAAAGTAGACCAAATTTAACGCAAAACTACATTTTCGAAAGAGCTAAACACGAGGATATGTACCCCCTCTGTACTGCAGTCGACCTTGCGCTGAATTCCAGTGGGGTACCTCTTCCTGTGTCCTAACTTTGACCCCAACCCTTATCATAACACTGACCTTCCTACCCTTGACCCTAAACCTAACACTCCATAGAACTTTGTGCAAGGTCACCTGTAATACCGAGGGGAGGGGAGGGGGTATCTATTCCCGTGTCCAGCTCTCGAAAAACAAGGTTCTTTGGAAGAGAAGTATGACGAAATACCTGCAGACATCCACAAGCCGATCAAGTTCTGGACAGGAACAGTCGTAAAGGTCGCGACATGAGTTCTGACTTTCATTCATCAGCATACCGAGGCTCTGTAAGAAGGCGTCCGCACCGTCCCCGGACGAAAAATCGAACCGTTCACACAGCCTCCTGAAGTCAAGCACTCGCTGGGCTTCCGAGTACACATGTTTGGCTCGAAGGGCTGGTAGGCTGTCTAAAACAGAAAAGAGTCTAGTGCTCACAAACCAGGGGTAGTCCATCCTCCTCTGTGACTGTCTCTGATGATGGGTTCATGTGGGAGTCCAAAAGGTCAGGCCAATAAACTCCTTATCTCAGCTATCGCATTTTCTTCCCCCAAACTGCTCCTTGGAACTCGCCTATTCGCTTCTATCGATAAGCCTGAAATGGTCTTACCTTTGTTGGCAAAACTTCTTTGCAATCTGTGTAACAGTACCCGGAATACGGAACTTTATAGAATTAAAAAAACCTTTTGACCTGAGAGGGGTCAAACCAACAAACTCTCAAATTCCATGTGGACGCTCTTTAACGTCTTTCGGCGGTCGGCTTTAAGAAATTCGAATATTTCCTATTTGTGATTCGCATGTCTAACCCAATGTAGTCTGAGTCCATTCTTAAGTTGATCTGGGCGGCAACCGTCTTATATGCAAAATATGAGCAAGTACATAGATGGAACCTGTCGAATCCGAGGGATCCATGGTTCGACTGCGTTCCAGGCCAAAGGATTTCTGAGTTGATTAAGTTTTCTACTTTTAGCAGTATGCAGTATTAAAAATCGACGCTTTTAAACTTATTTAGGTACCATAGAAATTCTCTCCTATTTAATCATTCCCACGTACTTCTGGAGATGGACACGGACTAGGAGTTACTAGGGGAGAGGTACTATCAAGGGAAGCGTGATAGGCCTTGCCGATGCCAGCTAAAAGACGAGTTCCAGGTAGCAGTTGAGCAGTAGGTAATGTGCGACCTAAGTTGCTACTCCAGGCCCACTTTCCCTCGTTCGAGAGTCAGAGTTCAACAGCAGGACTGGAAGACCCAAGGTTTGGAAGAACGTGCAGTCGATTATTGTGCCCTAGGCTGTTCAAGCTGAGCGATGAACCAGCGCGGTCTCAGCTTCTACTGGGTAAATCCAGTCATATGGATGTATAATGGTTCTATTCCGGGCGCCTGTTACATCGCTGCGAGATTTTCGGCCAATCACAGATATCCAAACTGGGTCAAAAGATTATCATGGCTAAGGCCTGCCCATGAATTAAGCTGTTGCGTCAGGCGTACCCTTCACTGAACCATCATTCAGTCAACCATGACCCATGAACCTACTCACACGTGGTCGTGGGTGATTGAAACGTTCTTTAAAAACGGCACAAAGGACTCGTTTTCACCCATTTAGGTTTTGAAAATGAATTCATCAGCTCTAGCTCTTTCCTCGTAATGACATTCATCATAGAAGGCAATTCGCCAATGTGAGTAGAAGAGTGTGAGTAGAAACACTAACCTACACCCACAAGTCAGGAGAGAAGCTCAATTTTTGAAATAAGGTGTTCTGCGTTGGTAGAGTTCAAGATGAGGCCGGAAGGTTGTCGAAAAAAATTGCGTAAAATGTGGAATATTGGCTTGACGTACAGACAGACGAAAGACTACCAACTGGCAAAGAAAAAAGTTAGGCAAAGTGACACCGCGAGGTTAACTTTGGGGGTATCTGGAAATTGGTATCTCAGGTCTCTCATGTTGCACAAACGTTACAGTTGTGTGCCCTCCACGGTCCTTCAAGTACTGGTTAACTATCAACAATAGGGATGCTGTGTCTTTTTGAAGAGACAGATAACCGTTAACTGCCCTGGGGTTGCCGTTTGACCGACCGACAGACTTTACAAATCAACCACTTGTTATTCATCCCTATGCGACCGCTTGCTTCAAGCTTAGGCTGTATCTGCAAGACAGAGCCCATATTATCTACTCCAGTTAGGATAGACTGGTGAAGATCGAGCTCCTTTACAGTAAATAAATCTGGTTCATTTTGTCAGGCAACAGTCCAACCAGGCGTGAATGCCACTTCACAGACTTACTGGGAGTGATCGAACATAACCTGATCCTGTGGCCCTATGCCCACCAACCGCAATTTCGAGTCTTTAGTTTTAAATGACCAAAAGAGCCAAATCAAACGGAATCTTATCTAAGCTGCCGCTGTGATACGGTTGACCGAAGATGGCCACCGCATCCATAAAACCCCTCAGGTGTCCCCGGTCTTTGTCGGTAATGCCTAACGATCGACAATAAAATACTTACAGGGTCTTATTGGTTCGTCTAGTGCGCACATTTAATACTTTTAACGGTCTCTAGTTGTGTAATAAACCTAAGCCAAGGTCAAAACAGATCAATTAAGTGATTTTAAGAACACTGTTTGACCATTTTAGGATTTCTGCGATAGGTCTGGCAATACTTACTGGCAGCTTTTCCGAAGGCCGTTTGGAATGGAGATTCATCTGAAAGCATTTGTCCTGGTTCTGTTTTCCCCCAGAGCCGCTGAACATCATACAGCGTTTGTATGGGTTTTGCTTGTTCGGTTTCACACGCTTCCGATAAAATCTGTGGTAAAACATCCAATAAGCGAATGCTAGAGCCACTGAGTTGGTTACCTGAAGTAAGCAATAGCGTGGATGAAAATTTTAGAGAGAACCAAGTAGCTAAATTCGTATCGTAAACAGGGCTCGATTCCGTGTTAGGGGCGTTCAGAAATCCCCGCCTTTTGGTTAGGGGATAATTGGGTTTTTAATCCTAAGTGCATGTTCTTATGTGGCCACTTCTAACATTAGAGCATAGAGGCACAGGTAACTTGGGGAGCTTTAAAAGGTGGGGGTGAATTACAAGTGATAGGATGAAAAAACTCGGTTCGACATTGTTGGGATCCGCAGTTAATAAAACTAAAGTGACATGACGCTGCCATGTCATTCTGAAAAGTCCTTCCAGAGTCAACAAATCAGATATCCGGAACTGGGTTTGCCCACCGGGGGTCCAGACGAAAACCAAAAGTGGTATCAAACGAGTTCACTTGATCTGATTCGGTGCTGTTATTCAGTGAAGTATCAAGAACGGCTAGTTGACCAGCTTGGTTAACAAGATACTTTGACAGACAGCTAAGGAAGGATATAAATTAGAAGAAATTCAGGGAACCTGGCTGACAACTACAACTCGGAGAATTTCGTCGTTAACGCAATGCCGTCACAACCCGGGTCCATCATGCAGGACAGGACTATGAATCCTGAATTATTCAGAAAGTTGAAGAGAAGGCCGAGATGTTATTGCCCTATATCAATGAAATGACTTACATTTTGCATATTTCCTCTAAAAGCAACGAATACACCTATTCACATCTTCTATAATGAAGCCGGCGAATGCTTGTACGTCAGTGTAGTAAATACAGGTAATTTTGAAATATTTTAGGTTAGACACGGAAGTAAGTACCCCATCCCAGTGACACAAATGACCATGCGCTAAATCTCAGAAAGGGAACCTATTCCCATGCCCTTACCCTAGACCTCTCACTAGAATTCAGTGTAGGACCGCTTGCGGTACTGTGCCCTAACGATTGTTGGACAGAATCAATTAACATAAGCACATGTCAAGCAATTCATTATTCACACCTCAAAGGCCCAAAAAACTTTTATCCTCAAAAATAGGACGTTAACAAGATATATTTTTCTACTGGGGGGTGGGGGAGTAAAAGAAATGTATTCCTGTCTCCTTTATAAGGGTATGACTGGATTTTTACATATAAACACACGCTTCCAAAATAATGGCTTTTCCAAGTACATTTTGCAAATATGACGAGAAAGCTAAGCCAAATACCGGCTTGCTCCTGCAAAGGACGTTATTTGGAACTAAGGTTCGAGTTAAGCATTTTTGTCACTCAATTCCAGTATCCCTTTACGTCAGAAAGGTTATCGGGATTTATGCTAAATGTTAGTGGGCTTCAGCGTATATTACCCTCGTCTCCTTGACACTTTCACTCAGATGATATCTGAGCCGCCCTTATCTTGTTGGTTCGAAAACCTGACCCCTCCGGCAGAGACCGGGCGTGCGTGGCACACGCAGACAGACTGTTTTATTTTGCCAGCCACAGCACCCGGTCCCGCGGTAGTTCTATGCTATATTTTTTATTTACACACAACTTTGTACATCCATTCTACTTATTAGTCATTTCCACAACTCGCATTTATGCATTCATGCCTACGTTGGTGTTTATTAACTTTTACGTGTAAATTCCAACGAGTGTAGGCTTACGTATCACTGCTGACATTTCACCCATTGCCTTTGTTCTTCACGGGATGGTGTTGACAGCAAAGTCCGTCCTAGAGTGGCTGCTTTACTTGGCCTATTTTGACCTGTTCATAGCCTGGTATCACATTTTCGGTCATCTTAACTCGCCAAAATCCCGCATCTGGTCTTCTTAGCTCTGTCTTGACACCGGGTTCAGGTGGATGTGGAAGGAGAGAGTGTGGTAAATTCAGCGCAAGTCTACGGTCACTATAAACTAATTCACGCGCAGGTCACCGCCCCAGCGCCCATTTTAATGGACATCGTTGTTCGCAACTGTCGAAATGATGGATTTACCTTCGGGGTCTAGTGCATCCGGCCTACACGGAATGCCTTAACCCCTGGATTCCTAATAAGTAGCCGCAGTGTGATTTCTGAAAGAGCAAGACAAGTTGAAATAGGAAAATTAACCTGGACAGCACTTCGACACTCGCTGACACGCTGGTTGAATAACGGGGATGCCGCCTTGTGAAGACGAACACCGGAATCGACAATTACAAAGCAACCACCAGGTGGAATAGCCACTGGCACCACAGTGAGTTTTGGTTTTGTAAACTCGATGAATACCGGCTGCGGAAATAGAAGGAAAGGCGTTGTAAAGCGGACAGAGTCAACAGAACATTAAGAAAATACGTAGACTTGTGATAGAAAGACAATGATGATTCGCAAATAAACTAAGTCTTCACTGGAAACATTCGAGTAACCTTCCTGGAAATCTGAGCTGAATTGACATTTAGTTTATTAATAAAATGCCTGTTGAACATCGAAATGTAAACACGTGGCGGTCAAGGCAATAGGCAAATTCAGAAAATAGTCTAATACTCACCTGATTTCCATCACCCGGATTTACTAGCCTACACAGGAATTTGACCGGTGACAGCTGATTCCAGGGGACTTTAAAGGTACGCTTAGATGGATGTTCTGCACAGTTTATGACGCTTGTCCTTATACAGATAAAATATGCCGGGCCAGGCGAAGTTTACGATATAGTACTTACCCTACAAACTACAAGCTAAAGGAGCGAAGGAAAATTGGGAAAATGACGGTTTGTTAAATGCCATCAGCCGACTTAACCTTGAAGGCAATCTGCGGTTTTGGGGTTTCAGTCTTTCAGTTACAGTGTACTCACAAAGCTTTCTAGAAAAGATCGCGCTTTTCTTGGAAGATGAGTGCGATTCTAAACCCAGGGTTTTGTACAGTTCCCAGCGGGCAAACACAATAGGACTAAGCCGGCAACCTGTAAAAACCACGAATGCGTCCAAATCGCCACAGTGCGGTCAAACTCCAGGCGCATGTTGCAACGCTGAACATCTTGCGATTAATTGTAGGTGCAGCATGCTATTACAAACAAAGACAAGGGAGACTGGAATGGCCATTTCTGGCTTATTAGCCGTCGTCAGCCAGTCATACCCAACCCCGAAGTGTGGAACACCCAAGGCTCGAACCCGCGACCTGTTAGAAGTCCACGCCTCGAGCCTAGGGTGTTTCACACCTCGAGGTTGGTCATGACTGGCTGACGACGGCTAACAAGCCAGAAATGGCCATCCCAGTCTCCCTTCTCTTTGTCGGTGATAACATACGGCCTATATCATGCGCTGCTGTACGGCTGCTGGTTGGGCTCGAGAGAGAGCCCGTAAGGCACAACGGAACGAGTGAGTTCCGTACGAACGATCGGTGAGCGTCCCCTACCAATTGTAGGTGCGCACCAATTGAAGTCAAGTTCTCGGCCAATGCCGGCTGTCCAGACTGGCCAATTATCTTCGAGGCTGACTCAGACGACCTTGCTGAGGGCGCTGGACACTTCGCCCCATCGTCTCACACTGGCAGACGCCGCTCCCGCGGAGTCGGGCGCGCCCTCGTCCTCCTGCCAACTCCTACCGACCCCTTCTCCAATAGTTCTTCACAGAATACAACATCCAACCGGCGTCCCACTTCCTCATTTCCTGTTCGGAACTGAGCCTGATCGTCAAAGTGGCTAGGGTCTCACTTTGGCTGGAGCGGCCGTAATACCTTAACACACGATAGAGAGACGAATTTGAAAAACCTGGGTCGCAGTCGACCATAACTGCAAAGGCCTTTTCTTTTCACGGGTAGAAAAAACTACTAAACTGGATGAAAAGAGACGGTTCCGGGATTTCTGAATAGCTATGAAGAAAACAAGCCCAAATGGCTGTATGTAGTTGCAGGCACTCGAGACAACCGTTTTGATTCTGGGATGGGGGAACACAGAGCTGGATAACTGCTCAGAGTTAACTAAATCCCGTTCCCACCTATGATGGCAGTGAGATCGAATGAGCAATCGCCTGGCAACCCTGTGCCCTATCCGTGTTCGTATCGCATTTCATGCGGATACTTCTGGAGTCAGGGTTGGGTAGAGAATCATCACTACCGCTGAAACACCAGGCTTATCAATCTCTCTTGGTTGACCTCTCATGCTGATTTCTAGGTTATCTTGTGATCTGGTCAGCGCCCATGTCTTCGCTTATTGGCGCTTTAGTTAAACAAAAATGCTAATCCGGGCAAATGCGTCAAGCAAAGTAAACATGAGCTCCGACTTTAATATGTAATGATGCAATTCAATACCACCAGACAACCATGAAGCACCAAGACCTAGTCGTCAAACCCAAACAGAAAAAAGTGGGAAGGGGACATGCGTTAAATCATTTTCTGCACTAAACGAAGCCCTAGGTTATACTTCCTACGTGGGCCAAGAAGAAAGCGATAGGTTTGTTAACACTACAAGTTGGAGGTCAGGCCTCCAGAGAAGGACTGGGCTTATAAATATGGAAGACAAAAGAACAAATGAAAAGTCCATTTAAAAGACGGCTATTAGCATCTTCTTTGAAGAACTGGAAGACACCTTGGTGGGAATTTGGAGGTCAAAACTTGAAAGGTCTCTTACTGATTGGTTAGCGAGTAGGCAGGCTGCTTGATCCATCCCACCGCCCTGAGTGCCGATTAGGCGTTCACATCTGGCGCATAGTTCTGCTAGTGTAAACTAAAAGTGGAAATATGAAAAAATTGTGCAAAAAAAGCATAAGACAACAACCTAAAAACTTCTGCGTGCGGTATGCTACCAGATGGACCGGTTTTACGCATTCGAAAAAGACAGCACAGTTCTAAAAACCGAGAAAACAGGCTTTGGTTGGATGTCGGAGTAATTTGCTTGAAGCAGTGCTCAATGTACGGCATCATTCGGACGTAATAATCCAACCTGGACGTACCGAAAGGCGGTGTGGGAGGAGGAGGAGGTTACTGATAAGATTATTCTCCTACACATTATTTTCCAAGCGGTTTATGAGAACCGGAATTATTCCATACATGGCATGCAATACAAACTAGCGACTGCTGTGATCTAATTCCTACTGGCCGCAATTCTGAGGCGAAACGACGCTGAGATGGCCGGGAGTACGGCCTTACAACTGTTCGAGGGCTTGCCATTGTAGATCCTCTGGAGGTCATGCTCCGCCTGACCAGTCGTACCAAAAAGGAAAAAGGGGGTTGTAATGGCTACCTCTGGCTTGTTTCCTGGAAGTTCGAATCTGCCGTCTGTCCTGTCTGTGTTTTAGTATGACCGACTGGGTGGGAAAGTTAAAAGTAGTTGACCTAACTACTTTCCTTCTTTGAGCCCGCTCTGTCGGAATTATTGATTGTTTGAGATTATGCCATCGCCTGCGAGTATTCTGGCTAAGAATTCCAGGGTGAATGGGAAAGAATATACTCCAGCCCTCAACCACATTGATGGAAGCCACTGTCATGGGATGTTGAAGTATAGAACGAAACACAAAGATCTTATGCTCCTCATCAACCCTGTAGGTGGCAAGGTATAAATTTCAGTGATTGGTTCAGATCAACGCCGTCTTCATGGAAATTGAAATTACGATATAGGAGGAGAAGAAGAAAAAGAAGAAGAAGAGGGATTAGGATGAGAATGAGAAGAAGAAGAAGAAGAAGAAGAAGGTCGTCCGGTCGTCCGCTCTCCACCTATCAGAGGTGGAGAATTTTAACCGGAATGCTGAAATGTATTTCCGACTAGGAAGGACTATTAAGTCGGGCTTGTGATGGTGATTGTTTTGCAGCATAACCGCAAGATATTTCACTCATATTAGGATGTTGGTTTTTAAATGTGCTTCTTCCCGGTCACTCGCGAAAACTAAACTCGGCAAGATATGGCTACTCAAGCGACATAAGTAGTATGTTATTACCGACAAAGGCAGTGGAGACTGGAATGGTCGTTTCTGGCTTATTAGCCGTCGTCAGCCAGTCGTACCCAATCCCGAAGTGTGGAAGACCCGAGAGTCAAACTCGGGACCTGCTAGTTAGAAGTCTACGCCTCTAAGCACTGGGCCACGAGCCCGTTTAGAGGCCCAGTGTTTAGAGGCATGGACTTCTAACTAACAGGTTTCGAGTTCGAGCCTCGGGTGTTCCACACTTCGGGGTTGGGTATGACTGGCTGACGACGGCTAATAAGCCAGAAATTGCCATTCCAGTCTTCCTTGTCTTTGTCGGTAATAACGTACTGCCTATGTCATGCGCCGCTCTGCGGCTGCTGGTTGGGCTCGAGAGAGAACCCGTAAAGCACAACGGAACGAGAGTTCCATAAGAACGATCGGTGAGCGTCCCCTACCAGTGACATGAGTTTTATTTATTTTCGGCGTCCTTATAGACTCAAATGTACTTTATAGAAAGCACGGAAATAACATTCTTTCTTGCGCTCATTTGGAAGCAAATCACGTCTTCTTCAAATAAGGCACTGCGAAGATGAGCAATTTTCGATTTAAAAAATTTTCACTTCCGAATATTTTTGAAACTGGTCTGCCGTCTTATTTACGTTTACGGTTTCGCAACTGCAAGTTCCATACTCTCCATGTGAGAGGAATCATAAATTCGCTAAATCCATTTAAGAGTTAATGGACTCGTGAAATTTCGGAATACTTGTAATACTTTGTTGGAAGCATTGTTAGACGGACAAACACGATGCCATTGAACTGCAAATTTTACGGCTTTATAAAGTCTTACAATCAAAAACGATTTATAGCCAAATGATACCCTTTTTGCATGTTTTCCGCAGAATATTTTCGAAGTTATATGCGCATCCGAAATCAATGAAAAAAACCGTACGGCAAAAATAGCCATACATTTCTGAGTCGAGTTTTTGCATGTGGACGGAAGAAGCGTATTCGGAAGCCAACATTCCAGCGTGATTGCAATATTGTGTTAGTGTGCAGCGTGATAATCGATATTACGATTCCACCCAAGTAATCCTTTCTAGTCAAAAACACGTTTGAGACTCTCGGTCACCATTCCATGAGATAGGTCAGCCACTGCGTGTAGAAGCCTAAACAGCCCAAAATGTACTCCAGCTATGAGAACAGCACTCGGAGGGTTTCTTAGGGAGACGGTCGCGCAAAATAACGGTAAAACAGAAGAATAATCAAGAACTGCACACATGTACATGTAAAGACTCCTTAAGACGGCACCCAAGTGCGACTCTCCTAACCAGACTGCATCTTGGCCTACGAACTTCTTCTCCTTCGAATTGAATATGCCCAGTCTGTTAACTGTAAATCTCTTAATCCTCCAGATAACTTCCACTTTCCTCGAAGTGTCATGCCACATCCTCATCATTTTCCGTTTCATGCTGACGAAGCATGACCATCCAATGATTGCCTGTGTTTTATATATGCTGATAATATTGTCGATGGTCAGACCACCAACAAATACTTTGATGGCATACTTTCTAGAGAGGACCTGGATCACTTCCTGATCGTTATAATTTAGCGTTCGTTTAACGGTCAGCAGTCAGCAATGGCATGTTTTTGGACTGCAGGCATCTGCTAATCATCCTGTCTATCTTTCAAATGAAGCAAAATATTTCCAATGTCTCAGTGTTTCGCTGTCCACTGACTTCCACGGGTCTTTGCATGTTGAATTCCCTTTTGCCAAGATTCCTAAACTTGTGATTTACATAAATCCAAATCTCGTCGTATGCCTCTTACGATTTAGAGAAACCTACATTTTCTCTCTTATCATTTACTGTACACATGTCGTTGTCCATGCTTTATAAAAAAAGGTTATTTTCTCCGAATGCTCTCTTTCGTTCATGGCCTCCCTTATTTCAGTCAAGTCGATCCAACAATAGTGCGAAATTTTATAACCATCAACAACTCTGTAACATGGATTCCAAACGACTTTCGTTATATTATCGGCCGAGGGTTACCTCACCAGCAATCAGTCATGCCAGTCTCAGAGCAAGTGCTAAACTGTAATGAGGCCAACTTACAAAAATTAAGGTTCAACTTGTCACCGTGACAGTGGAATATGTTAATGCTGTTTTTGATTTTTTCCGAATTACTTTGTTTGGTATTTTGGCTACGGTAGTTGCAGATTGCAGTTGAAGAAGGCAATAAAATGCCCAACTTTAGATACTGCTAATTAATACTTAGTTTCCAAGTGGGTACCATTTCGACGGCTGGTATAGAGGACAAATGTTTGTAAAAAGGCAGAAGGACTTACAGGATCAATCTGCAATTGAGCACACCGTGCAGTGGCCAGAGCTGCTGCGACAACGAGGGCGCTGCTACTAGACAGTCCAGCACACATGGGAAGACATTCGTCTCCTGAGCCGTGGCCCACCATCATGCGCATTGACGGTGGCTTCCAGGGCTGCAAGGCAGAAGCAAATCCTGGGGACGCCGTCGAACGCTGGAAACTTACGAATTTTGGAAGCAGCAGAAAAAAATAAAATGATCTTGACTTGTTTCTTGCGGAGTACTCGGGAGGTGTACCGTCAAAAAATTGCACCGTTAACTGTTGTGCATAACTTTTCCGTATAGTTTTAACGATAGCAAAAGCCGCCGGAAGGGAGATGACATAGGTTGAGAAAAGGGAGGGACTGTAACACTATCGGGATTGCATCCTGTCCTTGGGTGCGCGTTTGCAACGCGCCTCAGCAATCAGTAATAAAGTGCACTTCAACTACCGTGTATGAACGAAGTCAGCTTCATTTCGTCTAGCTATGGCTCCGGGACCATACGGGCTTCGTAATGCATTGTGTCAACTTCACATCGAGGTATTAAGGAATGTGAGTGAATTTCAGGGCTTCTTGGCAGGACATTTATGCTCAGCTCAGTCGCTATGCCGTAACATGCTTATTTCCAGAAATAGCATTACCGACAAAGACAAGGGAGACTGGAATGGCCATTTCTGGCTCACTAACCGTCGTCGGCCTTATTTTTTGACTATATCATGCGCCGCTGTGTGGCTGCTGGTTGGGCTCGAGAGAGAGCCCAACGGGACGAGTGAATTCTGTTAAAACGATAGGTGAGCGCCCCTCTACCAATGCTTACTTCCGTCGAGTCTCAATCCACTCACCTTCTTAATCACATTCAGCAAGAGAGTTCTTACTCTAGCAGTGTCACTAGTAGTGCTCATCAATTGAGTGTCTGCGCCTTATATATGCTGCATTTGATTCTTCGCATGCATTTTGTGGGAACTTAGACTCGCTTCGCATTGAGGGACTAACCTGACGGACAAAGGCAATGGATACAGGGATGAGCATTTCTGTCTTATTAGCCGGCATCGGCCAGCCATGTCCAACCCCAGGTTTTTGCAGCCCCTCAGGCTCGAACCGGCGTTCTGTTGACTAGACGTCCGACGCCCAAACTATTGAATCACGAGCTCGTCTTCCTGTCAACTGCCGGCAGGGTTGGAGATTGAGCCCCAAGGTACAAGGGGACGAGTTTGTACAGTGACGCAATCTGTGAGCGCTCCTATAACATAGTTAATTATCAAACTGCAAACGACAGGACAACAAGGTCGTGGTTCAATAGTTAGGGCGTCGGACGTCTAGTCAGCAAAACGCGTGTTCGAGCCTAAGGGACGCAAAAACCTGGGGTTGGACATGGCTGGCCGATGCCGGCTAATAAGACATAACTGGTCATTCCAGTCTCCCGTTTCCTTGTCGGCAATGTTATCATGCCTATATTGCCAGCCGCTGTGCGCCTGCAAGCTGGGCTCAAGACTGAACCCCAAAGGCACAACGGGACGAGTGAATTCGAAACGCGATCGGTGAGCGCCCCTCTACCATCATTTAACATTGGCTGCATAACAGTGAATATTTGGCTTGACAGATGTTTGGAACTAGCACAGAATTATGCCAATTTAACTGCGAAGACAATGGTTGTGCCAGTGCCAAACCTTAAAAACAAAAACAAAACATATGTCTTTTTTCCAGATATGCAGACATTTGAAAACATTAAATGTGAATAACTCCCCTTCGCCGAACATGACATAATAAGGAGTGTTCAAAAGTCACGTTTTCCAGCGACCTTCTTGGTGACTGCAGATTATGAAGCTCATCGGAAACGCTACATAAGGCATAGATAAATGTAGCAGGGAATGACTCGACCGGACAGACATCAATGAAACAGGGAAGAAGTCGCTGTTAACAGCAGCGTTTACTACTACCAAAACCAAACAAGCCGACGACCTTAATTAATATAGCCAGAAGGGTGCTTACCGACTTATTTTCACAGTTCTTCTATAATATAAAACCCCATTTAACCGAACACTGAAGATACGTGGAAAAAAGGCATAATACTTAAGTTGCGATTTTGATTTGGGAATGCGAATCCACTGTATGCTCCTCCGCCCTTATGAAGCTGGTTGAAATATTCGTCTTGGATCCCGGTATTTCATTCTCCTCCAATTTCCCTGGCCGTTTGTAATTCGGATATTAAAGCCAGACATAGTAAGTTGGATGCTATTGCTCTTGCGGTTTACTATGCCCTAAGACGGCTGGACAAGTGTTGTCGTGCTTACGCATGCGCATTTCTCGGCTACTCCTCTGCCTTCCACACAGTCCTGCGCCATCGCTTCGACAAAACGTCCGAGTGTGGCTCTTCTGATTGGATTGTTTCTTGGTCTAACGGTTATTTTGCCTCCCACAATCAACTTGTCCAATCTGAAAGGCCGAAATCGACTGTTCTTTCAAATAACTGCAGAGTTCTTCAAGGTACCATCTGCTCCCCCCCGCTTCTCTCACTTCACACTGATGACCTGAGATGGCCAAATGGGCAGTTATGTGCTTCATGTCTAGAAACCTGTCCAATGTATTTTTCGACTGCGACCCTCTCCCATTCCTGAACTCTTTGACACTAATGAGGTATCACCTGTCCGGTGCCTCTATGTTACTCTCCTCAAATCTCTCATTCTCCCTTCATACTGAAATCCTTTCCACTACAATTCATAAACTCGTTAACCACATCAGTCGTTTAAGTTCCTGTCACAAACATCAACCCCCAATCTGGGTGTTTGTAGATGCCTGTATTCTACCTCTCATTCTTGTCCTCCGGTTATTTTGCCTGCCTTGCCTAAAAAGGATATACTCATTTTAAAACGAGACGGCCGAAAACTCCCTTCTGCTGTCCGTATTTTTGTCTTTTTAGCTGGCACAACGACAATGAAATTTCGAAACAGTAAAGCAATTTGCTGATCGAATTCTAGCTGATCTTGTTCATCACTTTCAGCCTTAATTAATGGTTGCGACTGTCTTTGATGATGGGTTAGAGTGAGAACTCGAAACGTCTGGCCAATAAACTTCGTGTTCCAGTGATCGCATCTTTTTCTTCTCCTGAGCTGTGAAACCTTCCCGCCTTCCCTTTGGCACATCTCTTGCTGTACATAGTTTCGCGTTACAATCTATGGCACGGTCTCTAGCGAATAATGAGGCCAAAACACAGAAATTGAGACTCGAACTGCCCAGTGATATTTGTACAGTTTTTATGCAAACCCACCAGCTCTATCACCATCTATTGATTTGTATTCTGGCCATGTGAATAGAAAACGCTTTGGTTGAAAATTCTGGAATGATACTTTCAAAGTGAAGCCTATTCCCCTCTCTTTTTTCTCTCTCTCCCTCTCATGCGGCCTGAGTATAGTCTCTGCTGATTATCTTTCGAACCTGATATAAGAAAGATTTAGTCAGCAGCAGAGCGATAGCGGCTGTTTTGTAAATTCGCTTTCCGCAAACTCAAGGCGTCTTACCAGGCAGTGTTCAACTGCATAGTCGTGAATGCCCCGAAAACCACACAAGACATAGTGGTACCACTTCAGTGGCTTTGGAGGACCGTTGGCTGCAAATTCCAAGCATTCAGAAATCGAGCCATCAAAGTTCCTTTAATAAAAATAGAAGTTGCTGTCAGCCACTCGAGCCAGGGGGATAACTTCGAGCAATAAAAATAATAAAGTATAAATAGATGTTTTGGCGGATTTCGAATAACTTATTTTGACCCAACTGTGAGAAATCTGATGAATTCGGTGGGATTCGAACTCACGACAGCAAAGAGAAGGCTTCAGGACAGCCAAAACATCTAGTAATTACTCGAACCTGGTAGTCATCTGGTGGATTCTGTATTGATTACTTAGGAAATTCTGCTAGGACAGTCTGCTTTTTGCACCAGATTTGGTGGATGCTATACGTTGAAGTAGGCTGAACAGGTAACATGACCAAAATGTGATTAAACTCACAGTTCCGGGTGGGGCGTCATAGCTCAGGTGGCTAGAGAGTTGGCTGTACTCAGACCTTCCCCTTCCTGTCCTGGGTTCGGATCACACTGAGGTCGCAGAATTTTCAGGTAGATCAAAATAAATAACAAATATACAACCAACCGAAAACGGGTTTCGAGTCCTAGGGGTTGAAAACCTGAGGTTGGGTATGGCTGGCTGATGACGGCTCATAAACTTGAAATGGCCATTTCAGTCTCCATAGGTCTTAGTCTGAAAGCCCTTTCAGTAAAACATGTCCTAGCAGTCAAATGCTGTCAACTGGCAGTAGCCAGTAAATAAAACGGATTTTTTCCAAAAAACTTCGCAAATGACTAGTTTTGGGGAAAATCCGCAGTTTATTATCGAAGAGGTTATTTGAAAAGCCGGCCATATCGGTCAATCATAGCGTCCCAATTCAGGCAGCAACTGCCCTGCTGGACAATTCATTGCATATTTACCAACTTAATTCGAACACCATTTTTCCTGTCTGAAGTATACCAGGCGCACTCATTTACTAACAGGCAAATCCGGCGTCCCCCATAGAGAGGCGACTTGTAGGGTGCAAATACCAGGCTCCTTTTCGGCAGCCAACGTAGTTTTGGAGATTTGCTGTGGGAAAACCGTCGTTGCGCTCGAAGCTACAGAAGTAAATAGCTCCACCCTTAGACTTCGGACGGTTCTCATTGAGGCATAGGAACAAGTTAAATAGGTCAGTAGAAATAAACGTCTAAAGAAGTTTACGTATTGTTTGATTCCTAGACCCTTAATCGTTTGTACTCAATAACAGTGAAGTAGAAAAAATTGGTCGATTACTCAAGTCTGCTGTCCTCCGAACATATTTTCAGATTTCCATCGTGAAGATGCGAAGGCAGGTTCCCAGCTGCCAAAAAGACAGATTGGTTTAACGCCATCGGGAGAACTCCGTACCCATTGTAGTCTAGATGCTCGCCTGAAATAAACAAATAGAGCCGTAGTAGGGGGTTTTAGGTGAGTAGTAAGTAATATGTGGTATCTTCTATCCTCAGTCGAAATTTTCCCGATTGATTGGCTGGAGAATATGTTGTGTCAAAGGAAAATAAAGGAGGAGGAATGTTTGTCGAGGGAAATTTAGAGGTTCAAGTGGCAGATTTCTAGGCATTTCGGCTGTTTTTTTCTCTTAACATTACTAGAAGTCGACCAGTTTGAATGCGATTCTGAATACAGCTTTTGGGGACATGAGAACATCGGAGACGAGCTTTGAAATATAGTCTCTCTGAAGATTCATTGAAAAGAAGTATGGCTCCGACATATTGCATTTATATTTGATCAAAACTCCCAGACAGACAACGCTTATCTGGTGGTCCTCCCTCCAACCGTCTAAGAGTTCGATCAAGGCAGTAGCGGAAACATCCGTCCCATAGGACTGCAGGGGACCCTTTGCGCATTGTTTTGCCAAATCCAGTGGTATGGACGTGAAGAGGGAGATGACATCGAAGGAGGCCATGATCTCGTCGATAGAAACTGTGATTCCTTCTAATTTCTTTAGAAACTCTGCAGAGTTCTCAATCGACGTTTCACAATTCCTCGTAAGTGGATGAAGTTTGTGGAATAGCCACTTTGAAATTCTGCAGTTGGGTGCCCCGATTGAGGATACTAACGTGTCTAGACTTGTCGAAAGGCACCTAAATAAACGTCAAATTCTGGTGACACACAGAGCAACGACCACACTACGTACTCAGATAGTACATCCTAAGGATACGGTCGGCTATTCAGATAGAAAGGAAGTCGTCTACAAGATCTCGTGTGAGGCCTGTGATGCAGTTTATTGTGGTCAAACAGGAAAATGCACCTCTACACGCATTCATGAACACCCTTATTACAGGTGGCCGGGGTTTGTTTACTTCAGGTGGGGCTACATAACCACATCTGACCCGTATACATCCTTTAGGTGGATGAAAATGAGGCCTTTGGACAGTCTACTGTTTGTACCCAACCATCAGAATAAGTTGTGATGGCGTCTTCGACAAAGGTATGCGGACGAAATTAATCAGGTCGTGGAGGCATATAACGTGTGCTCGAAGGCACTGCGTGCAAGATCCTGTGGTTGACATAACTGTTAACAGGTTATTCGGACACTTGCAAGTGGTTCTAATTTAGCTCACAACTACGAGTTATCGCTTTGCCGAAGTATGTGTAGGTCATTTTCGCTTTCCTGTTGTTCCATCCTGCGTGGACTGCCCAAATCCAACTATTCGGCTGCCTGTTGCATGCGAGTTATAAGTCACTCTGGTCATAGCAGGGCGTTGGCTTAAAGTGTTTATAATCGAAAATGATACTTTTCTCGTTTTAGTCGCGCATCGCATATTTCCTATATCCCTTAGAGGGGCCACGCGGTAGACGCCCTGGACCAACACGGGAGCTAGATCGGGGTCCTGCAGACGTTACTGGGGATGCGTACCTATAACAGGTGCCGGATGTGTGGTGGTGGAACCGAGGGTGTACGGGCACAACTAGTTGTGGGTCTTCGCTGCGCTAGCCACCTGCACCCACTCCCGCCTGCGGTCTTTTCGACTCTGTCATGACAGCGGGCCCAGCTGGGGGAGAATGGGGGGGAAAGTGGTGGATGTTGTTCAAGTCTACTATGACTAAACGAATTCACGCACAATTCGCCGTCCTCCTCTCACCCTGCTATGCAGCACATGGGGAACGTCGTCGGAAATGGCGGTCGAATTGTTGGTAGGTTATGTCGTATCGCAATTGTGTTTACTTGTAGCTACTGCGGCAAGATCCTATTTCATAGCCATACCTGTTAGGGGTTGGGGTTTGGGGTTAGGCTAGAACTTGTCTACTGCAGGTACGACTACGAAATAAGATCCGATCGCTACTGCCTTAACGACTACATTTCTTTTGTTCAGGGTGTATTCCTCTTCGCATTTTTGCGATGCAAATTTTCAGTGCAGTAATACTATGGTATGAAACCGTTGGCCGTATCCTATTGAAACTCACAGGCTCGGTCAAATAACAGTTCATATTTGAACCAGTACACAGCGATCTGGGTTTGTGTTTCAGAGAAACCGAGTTTCGGCATTTATTGAGCGTGATCGTGAACAGACAACCAGTCCCATGGAGTAACTGGAAAAACCACAGTTTAACGGAACTGTCCACACATCAAGTTAACCATACCTGTCTACCACGTGAGTTGTCTTTCCAAACATATGAGTTTGCCCTCGACCACATACATTAGTCAGGGTAAGTTAAGTCAGGACACGAATAAGCCCTAAAAAGTTGTATTTCGAGCCTTCACCGCCGGGATTACCAATCAACTTCTAATTAGCAGTTCCTCGGGATACATAATCAGCATTCAGGAATATGTGCTCTATGATTTCGTCCGACAATATTGGGGTAAGCCTGTCGGAAGGGGATTTGTCAGGTCCAGGTGAAATTTTTTGATGCATCTTCCATTTTAATGCCATCAGCTTAACCAGACAAATCAAGTAAACTTCATCGGTAGGGCGCGTTGAACAAACCAATTTCTGGTAAATTACTAACAAAGACATACTAGCTAAAAGCCCAAACACACGTCTCTCCGATTTTCTGATGAAACGACAGAATCCCAAAACAAAGCTGTTTCCAATTAATTCTCCAGCTAAAATACAAGGAGTGTCTAAGAGGCCGCCCCTTTGTGTTTTTTTTAAAACTATTAATGAGGAGAGGACATTGATAGGATTTTCAGTTCACAAAACGGATACAATTTGGGCGATAAAATACAAATGTTAATTTACCAATTATGTTGACTCGTCCGGGTGCCCTCACAACAAAACAACTCCCTTTCGTTTCGGGATACTCTAAATTCAGCTTTTGCACCAGTTTTTCTGTCAAGGGCGTTTTTTCGTACGTTGCATACTAGAACAAAAAACAAAAGTTGCGTAGACTCAAATACAATAATGGAGATATAAAAACAAGAAGACTCACAAAACAGAGGCGACACATTTCCCCCTATCGCAAACTACTTCCAGTTGGCGTAAGTCATCCTAATTCTTTAGCCTCACATTTTGTTCGCGTGAGTTAGACTATGTTATGTCGAAGTACCTTAGAAATCGGAAGCCAATGATCGTTTTCATAGATGGTTCTGACATGCAGCCCAGCTATAAAGATAATGATGTCGCCGCATACATATTTAGTTCTTGACTGTGTTCGGGTCGAGCAATAAAGCGCGCCACGATGGCACGGGTGAGCACTGCTCTGGGGATCGGTACAGAGGTGTCAAAATGTTAAGTCACTATCACACCAAACGCTGCAACCGTTAACTTCGGTAAGTATATGGTGAAAAATTCCCCCCCTCCCGAAATACTGCACTCTCTGCAAGACTTCTGCCCCATTCTACTGCTGTCTTCGATGACGGGTTCGGATACGAATTTTTGCTTCAGAAATCGGGTCTCTTTCTTCTCAACTACTTCAAAATGGGCAACTGGTAGATGCTCTGGACCAACACGAAGGCCATTTTAGACTCTGGCAGGCGTTATCGGAGTCGCGCACCATAACAAATGCCAACATCTCGAGGTGCATTTGCAGACCCGGTTGCCGGCGTGCGTCGCGCACACTGGGACCCTGCCACCCCTCCTCCCCCCTTATTGTTGCTGTGCATCGAAAACCTGGTTATTTGTTGTGTGGACCAGGGGGTGAAGAGTGGAATGCCAACGTGCGGGTTCGACCGTGCCATCCACCTGCGCCCTCCCCCGCCTCAGGTCTACTTGACTCTGTCTTGACACCGGGTCCAGGTGAGGGAGGAGGAGCAGAGAGTGCGGTAGATGCTGTGAAGTCCTCTGTCACTATAAACTAAATTTTCGCACAAGTCACCGTCCCTGCTCCCACCCTGCTGTGGAGCATACGGTGGACATCGTCGAAACCGGACGGTGGAACTATCATAGGGCATCGGCCCGTGTCTCAGAGATAGAACATGGGGCTACAAAATCTCATTCAAGTGGATTCGAACTGTAAGTCCTCCAGACCCAATTTAGGACTCTGGCTGATCAACTATGGCAAATAAGTCGGAAATGGCCATCCCGGTCTTTTCAATGATAAAAGTTTGGATCAATTAATTGTATCCAGATTTCTGTGATAAAAGTAATGACGCAGGACAGACACCAAAATATGAACGTTATCTGCATGTCTTAAAACTAAAACAGGGCAAGGGTATGGTTTATGGCCGGGGTTACTTACTCCGGGAAGCAACTGTCGATATTTATTCGTACATGCCAAAGAAAGGAATAAAAAGATCGCGGTGGCTGTTGCGTAAAGGTGGTCAAGATGCTTCAAGGCATTCATTTGGGTAAAAATACGACAGTGCAATACCTTTTTGACAATGCCTTCAAAGGGACATTTAATTTATTTACTATTATCATTAACTGGTAAAAACGATATCCCCTTGTAATTGGTGACAATATAGAGGATCAAAAGGTGTGACACCACAAAGTTCTTGGATGTTTGGTTCTCTTGCTCGACACAAATGTTCCCCGGAGAAAGCAATTCTGGCCATAAACCATAATCTTGCCACAGCATTAATTCGCGTCTATACAGCTATGAGATGGAGGGCAGGAAGTTAAGCTCTAAGACCCACCTACAAATCACACACGGTGGTAAACAGATATATGTTTGGGGTGCACAAAGGTGCGTCATTATTTCAGCACAAATGGCAGTCTTCCTAGTCGAGCGGGTTTCCGCACCTCAAGTGATTCACCATATGGTGAAAATAGTTTAAAATTGGCTGGGTGTTATAAGTTGTCACCTGGATGGTGGCTGCCAACACCTCCTGCGCGGCTAACTTTGCACTCGAAAATCCAATAAGCAATCCCCTGATAAGTAAGACAATTATTGCCTTGTTTAATTTCCGAGGAAATTAATGTGTGAACTTCGAGTAAATTCTTCAGAGCAGACCTCTTCAGGCTCGGTCCGGAAGGTGACATGAATATCTGAGCTGTAATTTTATCAGTTACTGCGGAATAACCGCGTCATAGTTACAGCTGCCAACAAACAGCCAGAAGTACACATCTACGTGATTATTTACCTTACTGACCTCACACGTACTAGCTGTCAAGACAAGTACCATCAGTTTGAAAAGAACGCATGACATATTAAGCCTAATTTTCGGAGAGAGTCAATTTTTCGGTCCCCAATAAACACAGTCTAAGCGAAGTGTTCCCCATCGCTACTTATCAGGGATGGATGAACTAGACTACCAGACTGAAACAGTCACCTCAAAAGATTCCCATTCCTGCTGTTTTGCTCACGCCCCCGTTTACGGACCTCAGTGACATCACGGATTCCACTCTCCCACGCGCAGTGATCTGCGACAGTGATTTGGAAAGCAAGAACCCCTCTCCTCCTCAGTATCTCCCTGAGGCATATGGAGTGGCGACGAGGTCACGTGTAGCACTCGTAGACGGACTGTTTACCTTTGTTAGGCGCCACGACCGCATTCGTTCGTTTTGACTTTGCCTCGCCATTGGAGCAGGGTGGGTGGAGGAAAGAGTGGAGGTGGATGCAACGCATGCTTGCGTCATTATAAACTACCTCATGAGTTCAGGCTTCGCCAGGCTGGTCAGTGTTTATGTCTGAGCGCAGAAGAGACTTCACAACCTACATTCATGCCTTCATTCACTGTGAGTGAGTGCACAGGCCAGTTTTAGCCTTTACTCATATCTCTTCTAGGGTTTCTCTCCGGACCCCAATACTTTCAGCATCCAAAACAGTGACAGGGAAATGGTCGTCGGAATTGACCGTCTTGAGAATACCGACTCAGACACCCCTGCGGATGTCACATAGCCCCCCCCCCCCGCCTGCCATTCCACCTTCCTTAAACATCAGTTTGTCCTCATAATTCTTAAAGTTCTCTCCCAAGGCAAAACACGCCGCACATTCACCAACACGCACCTCATCACCCATTGCTCTCTGCACTCCCTTCTCATTCGCAGCTCACAATGGACGTCATTTTCACTTTCAACGCCGCTTTATAAATCATGTTGTCAAGGCAAATACTACTCCATACCATTTTACGCCACATTTTGCCTCGATTGGGCAACTGTGGGAGTGCCCTCTCGCCCGGCATGCCTCAAGCCCACCAGCCCGCCCCCAGCCTTAATAGTTTGCGCGTCAGCGCGACTGACATTGGCTCTTCCCGTAGCCGTAGGGTACCTTCCACTAGGCCAAGTGGATGCAGGCCTGCTGACTACTCAAACCACTGGCCTTCGCGCCTACTCCAACCAAGTACACTACAAGCGGAGTTCACGACTGTGATAAAAGCCGGCCTGCGAGGACAACGCGGTTGAGTGTTCGTAAGCTCTTATTTCGCAGCCGCACCTGTTATGGGTTAGGTGTTCAGGTTAGTGTTAGGGGTTAGAGTTAGGGGTTAGTGTTAGGGTTATGGGTTAGTGTTATATCCCCTATTACCGCCGGTCCCGACTGGGGCTTGTCTACTACAGATGCAGCTACAAAATAAGATCCGACCAGGTGTTCTTTGGGACAAATGTAAAGGCCGCCGTACCAATTCCGTCTCCATTACTTTTGACTTGCTAAACTCGTTATCTTGCATCATACGTCACAAGACCGACCCGCGTCTAGACCCCACCTAATTCGAAGGTTAGTTCTGCGACCTAACCGAGGGTCGATGGAAAATAAACCAGGATCAGACATTCCAGTCTGTCATTCCTTTACCTTTGCTACGCGAGAATTCTTCAATGGGTCAACTCGACCCCGAGATATCTGCGACCCGGCTGCTCTTACCGTTAAAACTACATGATGGATGTCAGCTGGTAGTGAAAATGGATGTCAGTACGCCGTTATAGTGATTATCCTTGAGACTGAGGCAAAGTGTGAACAATAAGTGTATGTGAGCGAGCAGACAACAATACTGACGAAAAATAACGGTGACTCTACGTTTCCGCCCGAGCCCGGAGCAAATAAACCGGAGAAACGCGGAGAATGCTTGGACACATCACACACGCAAGCACACACTGAAATGACACGGAATCTCAAGCGATCGCTCACTCGATGGGACCCGGCCATGTCTTTCAGTTCGACGGGGCCGGAATTCTCGCACTAGCCGCGAGCTTCTTGCACCATGGCTCTCAGGCCCGCAAGCCATCAACAAACGCAGTGAATTTCCCTCCGTATTCCTTGATAAAACTGTCTGAGCAGAATAATCAGTCATGTAGGTGACGTGTTAGTGAACACTGCTTTCAGTGGCAGTAGTAACAGATCAAATAGCCGAGCTGCTATAATACCAATCGCTAATTGCAACGACTCGTATGCGGGACATCAGGAAATCATCCCACCAGATACGAGCATCTACAATGAACACGGGAACTGGTAACTCTAGTAGGTGTGGTTACGTGACAACTGAATCCTATAAACACCATACCCGCGGTGTTTATCCCACTCTTTCCCGTTAATGACTCTGGTGATATGTTTGGGTATGGGTCCGAAACGCCAGGCGACCCGATTCTCGCTCCAGCGATTGTGTCCCCTTCTTCTGAACATTAGATCGTCTACCTAAAGACTTTTTCGTTCCCTGAACAAGCGGAAAATAAGAATTTGACGGGTATGAAACGCTAGTTACTCAGCTCCTTGCATGCACCGACGATGGCATTGAGAAGCACAGTCACTGCATTATTAGCTGGTCAAACAGCCAGAATGATGACTAGAACTGGACAGTAGACCAGGCTTGTTAGGAAAAACAAACCCCCCATAGCATGAAGATTAGTAAGTACTGCAGCATTTCTAGGCAATTAACGAGTGAGCAGACAAACACGGTTTTAGATATGGCGTAAACTAAGCGGAGAAATAAGAACACACTCAGCAACGCCATGAAATACAGTCGCGCTAATTCTTAGTTTTTGCCTATCGGCAGCCGTTGGATTTGTCCAGCGTCCTAATATTCACTTGCATCATCACTGAAAATCCCAACTTCTCAATTTGCCATAGTCCAACCGCTGTTTTAAAATCATAATGAGACGACCGTCCATGAAGCTAATGCAGGCATTAAAGGCATATAATAAGTACTTAAGTTATTATTCTAGAGAAACATCTGAATTTGTTGATATTACGCAGGCAACAAGATTTCTAGGGCCTCGATTTAACTGTCGCGCTGGCAAATTCAGGAAAGCCGAAGTTTGAATGCCTGAAGCACAGCCAAGTGGTGTTTATGCATTTACCTTAAAAAAAGCTTGTTAAAGGAGACCTTTTAAAGGTTCCAGGGAGGATTTGATAGATAAAAAAAGGAAGTCGATTCAAAACAGACAAGATTTAGGGGGCTAGTTACTCTGTTATTGATGCATATTATTGCAATGCGCAGAGCAGCGTCTCCAGGAAGATGTTTTAGAGTAAATGGTGAATAATTTCGACTCTATGAAGAACAAGCGCCTCCTAGTTTAAGTTCAATTTACTTCGTAGTTCACGGATTGACGATTCACGACAAGTAATGAGGGATAGGTCAGTTAGAAAATAGAACAGTTCGCGAGCTTCTATTGACGCAAAGGACACCGACAGTGACGTTGAAGGATATTTTGTAGAAATTGTAAGTTGGAAATTAAATGTCATAGGAGGCGGCTTTCAGAGTTCCGAGAAAAGGTTAGTTACATCTTGTTTCAGGGTAAGAGCGCACCAAGTCGACACACATTTTGTGATTTAGGCATAACTTATTAACCAGTTAAAATTCCAGAACAGAGCAAGGTCTTTCTGGATGAAACTCTACCCTCGAGCCTTAAAACTGATATCCCTGTCTTGATCAAAATCGAGTGGTTTCCGTGAACAGTTATACAGTCCGCACGTACAACGATGTCATTAACTTCCTCGAAGAAGCGTTGTAGTAAAATCCCACCTCGGAATTTACAATAGCAGCAAGGATCTTATATGCCTAGTGTTACGCAATGAAAACCGGTCAACTTACCTGGTCCATGTTAAGTTTAGACGACGCAAATCACGTACAAGTATCTACTACACAAGCCGACAATGGATTTTGCATGTAGCCATAAAATGTGAGCGAAAGAACCTTTACGTAACTTATAAACAGCAAGTTGATTGGTTGGCACTGTTCGTCCGCTACGCGCAGAGAGAACAGGACACGCTCACCGATCGATAACCCACCTGCACCGTAAGGCAACACAAACTCGCGAGTCACACACCACCTAACCCTGCGCGCTGTTACGGTGGGGTTTCGGTTAATTGCTACTGGTATTTAGGATAAGAATACATAGTCAGTAACCTAACATGCTTTTAAACACTTATTGAAGACTAACGACAACGCTGATACAGGGAAAGCTCTGCCAAGAACTTTTAGAACAGTAGTTACTTAATCAATGTCGAGCACGTTGAAAGCGTTTTCCTTTTGTAACTAGATAATACAGAGCATAAAATCATCGTCAACTCCATGACTTTGTTCAGCGGAAATAGTTTTGACCGGATGACTATAAAAAAGCAGATGGAGGTAATAGGTTCGGTTTTAGCCCTGCACATGGGCTGCCTAAATGTACTCCAGTGTCAGGTTAGGGTGTGGCCCACCGAATTTCAGTGGTCTGGAAACGAGAGAGTTCGTATTTCGACAAGGACGCAGTATGCGACCGCACTCAGGAAACAAGAATCAGGTCATCATGGCATATTGCGTTCACGTCTTTTTTTCTTACTAATGCTTCCACAATCTCTTAACTTGATGGAATGTAATCCACTTCTTTTGCGAAAACAAAGTGGAAGAAGTGCGAACAATGTTCAACTTTTGTATGCACTGTCAGATATCTTTATGCCCTCATCATTCCTCGGGAATCAGGTTCCTGGCAAGTGTACTCTTTTGCGAGTAGGTTTAGAGAAATTTAGCGCGAGGACGCGATATGCCACCTCAACATTTATCCGAATGCTTACCTATTATCGCGCTCTCCTTTCCGCCGTTTAGCCCAACCCACAAAACCCGCATTGCACAGAGACCAGGTTTCTGTTCCCTGAGTGGGTTCGCATACTGCGTCCCTGTCTGTA